GGAGGTTTCAGACAGTCTCCATTGTGTAGGAGGGCACCCTAGCTGTGCACTGAGATTAGCCTACAGAGATTTTTATGGGGTTGAGAAAGAAAGGTAAGCTCCCTCCTGCTGTTGGTAAACACTGTTATTGTTCTCCATTCCCTGCTGAAAGGAACAAATGCAATTCTGCAAAGTTAATTACTGCAATAATGAAAGAAATGACACAAAATGACAAGGAATGTGCTAATTCAGTAAGACTGAAGTCATTGACATATTAGTCCCTTTACTGCCCGTTGTTACTTTCAGGCACGTACTCCTTTACTCATAAATACTGAGTAGATTTTTGGGGACTTAGTATTTAAGTAATAAGTTAGTAAAATAAAGATTAATGTGTAAGAAGAGCTACCTAATGATCTCTTAGCAGTTGTCTGGTCAGTACCAGACACGTGATGAAGTATATGAAAAAAAGGACTTATCCACCCTTGCAGGACTTGCAGCACGTTTCCTTTTCAATCCAAGAACGTCCAAGTTTCTTTGTCCAAGAATGAAGACTCACTAGAATTTTATCTATATGCTAAAACAATTTAACCCCCAAGAAGGAAAAGGTGACCAGTGAATAGACGGCATCAAAATACTGTATTTTTTCCTTGTTTACATTTCCCACAGTATCACAGAGGAGATGAGTGATATCAATTTTTGTGTGAATATCTTACACATAGCTCCAGATGACAACTTGCGAATCTCCATTTACACAGCTCCACTGGCACTGAAAGCTGTGTGCTTGGAAACTGTAGGCCTGTGAAATGTAGAGTGACAAGTCTACTGTATGTGTGGCACTATACTAGCGATGGGGAGCATGAGAAAGCTCGGGCACAGAAACGACCCTCTCTCAAGGTCTCAGAGAGAACTCGATGGGAATATTTCCAACACTTTCTTTCAGAAAGGACCACTGCACTTAGGTAACAATCCTGTTTGAAATCCACATACAGATTCTAGATGGCAACTCCCTCATAGAAGTCAAGCACTACATTGCCAGGCTCTACCTAATAATAATGCACAAAGAAACAAATTCTTCCAAAGAACTGAATAAGAAAGCAGAAGAGAAAGTCTTGCATGCCACAATATGTATCTCTAAAATCATGATAAAAAGGAGCATTGGGAATTGCTAACAATTTCAGCTACAACACTGAATCATCTAAGTAATCCTTCTTCTATTTAACCAAAAGGAAAAATGAAAAGACTTTCATTGAAATAGTCATAAATTCCATCCATAAGACTTTTCCTGCAATTAAGTTACATTTACTGATCCACTACTCCTTAAAAGAAGCATTAACACAAAGACTTCAATTATTCATGGTCAAACAAAGTTGATTCTATTGCTTCAATCAAAGCGGCATTCTCTTTACAGTGGTTATTTCTGTAGTATCTTCAAAAAGGGCACACAGTCTATGAAAACATGTAAGTTTCTGAATAAAAGCTATTTCCATGATCAATCCTAACTTTTTGCATTTAATACTTCTGCCATTTCCTGCTTTCATGAGGATTAAATCTGCTGGGGTTTTTTTGTCCCCTTCATCCTTCAAAGGGTAAGCTGATTAAAATTCACCATTTTTTTGAACCCAGTTGCAACGTCCTGAAAAAAAGGAGTCTCTCTCTCTCTCAAAAAAACCCCAACCAACCAAACAAAAAACCCCAAGTATTTACTATTATGGAAAACTTATCAGTGAGGAAAGAAGCCCAGGAAAGAAATTGCAAAATTAACTCTGTGGAACAAAGTTGGTGCTTCTTTTGCTGTCAGCAGAGGGCTTAAAGAGCTGCAGAGGGTCTAACATCTGCGAAGAGCCATACCTACTTCTACTGCTGAAAGCTTCTGCAATACCCACCACTCACTCTTCCATAATTCCTAATTACTGTCCATTTATGCTAGTGATGCCATCCCCCAATAGTTAGCCCCTTATACTGCTGCTGACTGCTGCCCAGCTTCAGTCTGAAATACCCTAAGTGGAACTGCCTTAATTAAGCTGTGGAACTATGCATTTTAAAGGTCAAGAGTTCCTAATCAATCCTAGGAATTTAAGAAGGGGATAATATTGCCCAAAGACACTAAGCAAAACCTGATCTTCTAGAGATACTTATTTCATTTTCAGAGGTCGAGAATGAATAAAGATCCTCAATATTATTTGGTATAAGAAAATACCAGGGATACATTTCTTCGACTCAGTAAAAAGTCTGGCATGTGTTCTATTAAATATAATGTTAACAGGGAGATAAATTCTTTCCCCAGTAGACTTCCCTAATGAGAGCAATCCTGAAAGATGACAGGCTGTTACAGAGTGAAACTGTTGTGTATAAATTCGCATTCATGTAAATGTGCAACAGACTGACAATTGATTGAGACACCTATACATAATAACATAAATAATTCTTCAAAAGGTAAGAATTTATTTCTAGAAAGTCATGCTCTCTGAGTCATGTCTTCCAAAGACATGGAAGTTGACGAACGCCTACCAGGAGCAAAAGAATTCTATCTGACCATCTTGAAGGTGTCAGAGGTTTAGTAGAGTTAGTACTCCTTTTTTTTTTGCTGGAACTAGGTATCATACAGAAGGATAACTGAAATAGAAAATAACAGCTACAGTGTAAGAGGTAGCAAATTGTATCCCAGAGATACTGACAAACACTCAAACAATTAGTATTTGAATTTGCAGGTGTTCCTCTTTTACAAGGTTTCATCACTGTTTTGTACAGAAAGTCTTGAAGGGGAAGATGACTACAAATCCCAGTGACATATTGTTTCTTTGTATAGAAAATACTTAGAAACTACATTGCCAGTGAAGTATGACCACAGGATTTAGCAAAAAGCCTTAAAAGTTTAGGTCCTTATTAAAAAAAAAAAAATAATGTTTTTGATTTTTTCCTCAAATGAGTTTTCCTTGATGTATTAGAGCTTCTTTGCTTCTAGCAAGGGACAGAAAGGTGAGAAAACAATTACACTGTTAAAAAAAAAGAAAAACATCCTAATCTGCTGTAAACCAACTGTCCCTCCTTCTTACTTGTTCAACTCATATACTTATGAAACTTATCACTTAAGTAACACCAACTTAATGTACCAAGAAATGTAAATAGTGGATAGAGATTTTTCTCTCTTTGCTCCCTTTGGTTTGGAAAGAGGAACTGAGGACGATTATGTGAGTTGGGCACTTCAGTCACAAGCTGCTTACATTCATGATTACCCTTAGAAATTTCTCTTCATTATTTTTAACTCACACATCATTGAAACAAGGCCTACTACAATGGGAGACTGCAAAGACGACGAAGAGGAATTTTGGAATAATTCGACAACTATGTTTGTGGGAAAGAACATCAGTAAAAATGCTGTACGGGTAATGCAACTGAACCTTTTAATTACTTAAAGAGCAAAAAGGTTCATTAATTTTTGCTGTAGGGCATTTCACATTTGAATAGTTATATTTAAGTGACATTCTAGCTTTCACATGAAAAGCTTAGGTCTCGTCCTAGATAATTAATTTTAGCCTTGGAGTGTAGTGAGGAGACACAGGAAAAATACAAAGTCTTCAACTCAAAAAAAAATTACATATTGAGGAGATTTACACAGGGACTACGCGGATTACAAGAATTTACCAACAGCACTATGTGTTATCAGTATATGCTAACAAATTACATTTTTTTTTTTCAAATTTAAAGATGTATCTTGTTAGTAATTTTCCAAAAAAAAAAAAACCAACCTTGCCAGAATATGCCACTTTGTCATCTGAAGAACTGTTTAAATGCCAATAAAATTTCACCACAAATCAGCTAATTATCTGTCAGCCTTCCTAGAAATTCTGCTGCCTGGAGGACACAGAAATGTACAGCACACAATTCATTCTGGAGGCATTAAAATGTTCATGTATATTGTATTTCCATGGAAGAATTGAACACTTTGTGTCTTTTGGATGGTAAGAAGTAAATTAATGTCACTATCTTACATTAGTATAATTAGAAATATCACCATAGAGTAATTTAGGTTGGATAAGAATTCTGAAAATCAGTCATCTAGTTCATCTGAAAGTCAGGTCCAATTATATCAGCTTGCTCAGGACTTTGTCCAGCTGAGTTCTGAGTATCTTCAAAGATGAAGATTCTACCACCTCTCTGGGCAACCTGTTCCAGTATTTGAGTACCCTCACAGTAAAAACATTTTTCATAATAGCTGAGTTTTCTACTGCTCCATCTTGTGTCCATTGCCTCTTACTCTATTGCTGTGCACCTCAGAGGAGTCTGGTTCTGTTGTCTCTGTACCATCCCATTAGGTGGTTGGAGACTGCAACAAGTTCACCCCCAAGCCTTAAGGCTGAGCTAGTCCAGTTCTTTTGGCCTCCCCTTCTACATCAGGTGCTCCAGTTCCTGATCGTCTTGGTGAATCTCTGCTGGACTCACTTCAATATATCAATGTCTTGCTTGAACAAGCCCCAGACTGGATGCAGCACTCCAGATGTGGTCCTCCATGTGCCAGACATAAGGGAAGGATCACTTCCCTCCACCTGCTGCTTATCCTGTTGCTAATACCACTCAGGATGCGGCTGGCTGGCACATTGCTGACTCATGTTCCATTTGTTGTCCACTAGGACATCAAGGTCTGTTTCTGCCAAGCTGCTTTCCAGCCAGTACTGGCATATATTCAATCCAAGATGTGGGAGTGCAATTGCTTTTGTTGAACTTCATAAGGTTCTGGTTGACCCAATTTCCAGCTTGTTCCTCGGAGACCCTGCCCTACAGTGTATAGACCGCTCTCCCAAAGTTGGTATTGCCCATGAACTGACTGAGGGATGCTACTATTCACCAGCTGCCAGTTGGACATTGTGTTGATGATCACATTTCTTACGCTTGGTGTGTCTGATAATTTTCCACCCACCTTTAAGTCCTTATCTCACCAATTTGTCTATAAGAATACTAGAGGTGAACAAATTGTGAATAATTAAGATTCCAACAAGTATATTGCCTAAAATAGCTCACAGTGCTTCTAGATAATACAGTTTATTAATTATTGGGTGACAACAGACAAACAGGATAGTCTGGGAAGTTAAACTAGGGACTGTGAATCATATAAAGTATCTATTACAAATGACAAAATTAGTATCTGCATATGGGAGCTCTTTAACATGAAAGAGAAGTTAATGATTCTATTCACATAAAAATACAAGTTAGATAAAACACTAGACTAGGAAACCAAAGTTTATCCAGGAATATCTGTACAGATAAGTTTGTGAGCCCAAAGGCTTGTGTATTTTTTTCCCCAGTGAACAGCAGTTAGTCTAATAAAAGATATTACCTCTGTCCATGCACCTGGCCTCTCTCACTCACAGAATGATAATTTTAATCTTGTCATGTGCACTTGCTAGCATTTTTACCTCTCTCTATCAGAATTAGAAAAAAAAAATAATAAAGAAACTGAAGCTTACCTGGAGCAGAGGAAGTATTGCTGTGGTTCAAACTGCTGTTTGGAAAATGAAAAGTATATCTAGGAGTCATAAACTTGACATAGCTCAGATTTATATAGTAAATAATTATTGTTTAAGTCCAGGTAGGAACAATGAATCAGTTGAAGAGATACTGCCACGGAAAAAGGAGCTTCCTCTTAGATTAAATTTGAGCAATATTGTCAGTATACAGTCACTTTAAACACTAACATCTACATTTATGTTATATATAGAAATGCACCATATGCAGTCAAAAGTGCTTTAGGATATTAGAGACCTTTTCTACAGTCTAAATAGATGGTGGAGTGGAACAAATAAGTAGACCGTGTTCTTGGAAGATGGGGCTTATTTTCATACAATTAAATATGGCAAGTCATCCATTTCACCATTACATGCTACCGTACTTGCACATCATGGTTCTATTTTTATTTCTACACTGATATAACTACACTAGAGCAAGCGTATCTAGCCCATTAAGTATTGGTGCTGATAATTAAGATGTATTCTATTGCTTCTTTAGAATATTTCGAATGCCTGTTTGGTAGAACAAATGACATCGAATGACAAACCATACAAATCAAAGCCAACAAGAAATTATTTTTTTTTCCACCTGATATGAATTTCTTTCATAGAAAGTAGGATATAGTCTGATGCTAGCTCATGTATATTTTTAAAATTTCTGTGAGCCAGAATGGTTGTAAGGAATGTGGCATGAAACACACGGACCAAGTAAAACAATATAAAAAAGCTGAAACATGCATTAATTTGAACACTCTGAAGAACACATCTTTTAACTGCCCAGATTATAAATGTGTACAATATGGTAGTGTTTATTTACCTTTTAAAATTCAAATATATGTTAGTAAACTCATTTCATGCATTATTTCCACACATTTTATTCACATGACAGATCTAAAAACGATTTTATGAAGCGCAAGATCATTTGATGGGTATAAAAGAACAGTTAAAACCAGAACAGTTGTTTGCTTTTATGGTAAAAAGGGCATCATTATGGTGAAAATAATTTTCTTCAAAGAAAAGTTCCCCATAGGATTATTTTGAATTATTCTGTAAAAAATGCTATGGTGATGTTTTCTTCTGCAGTTTCTTGTACCATACAGGTGCCTCTTTATTTGTCTGTAAAATAAAGAACATTTTAACTGTGAGACAGTGAAATCCAGAAGAAAAACATGCAGTCTACACTGAAGTCTCTTTCCTTCCATGTAGTTCACAGTGATAACTGAATTCTTTGCTTAAATGCAAATAAATTAAAAACAAGACTATGCTCTTAAGGTTATTATTACTACATTTCTGTATGAAAACCTCCTTATTTTTAGGTTACGAAAAGCAGATTGTACAATAAGAAGTAAATGATTTGTTTTAAAATATCTACTACAGCGAAAACATGCATCAGCTGTGCCATAAATAGGTTTAATTTGAAATAGCATCATCTGACTTTCCCACTTGAGAAGGGAATGGAACTTAGAAGAGATCTTAGGTGTGCCATGCAGAAATATAGTTCTTAAAAAATTACAATTAAAAATAAAAGAATTTATCAGTTTTCTGATAGTGTAGAAAGTTCTTTAGTCACAGAGAATTATCTGTAAGCAACTCTTCCTTGCCTTCCTAATCCTATGGGCTACTGCTACACAGTCAGGATTGCTTAACATCCTTGTGGCCAATTCAGTGGTTGGTTGTATACAGAAATAAAACTGAAGAAGTGGAGGTGGAACAAGGTAAGGACTATTCTGCTTTCAGGGTTGGGTATAATCTCTTATGTTACTGAATACTGTCTCTTTTGTCTGCTGTCCCTAAATGTCCCTTTCTAGTCCCGTTCTCTGTCTGCTCTCTATTTGTCCTTTCTTCCAAGACTTAATAACCATTCAATTTAAAAATCGACTTTATTCAGCTGGCCTTGTGGTGGGGCTACTCATCACATTTTAATCTCCATCTTTCTCTCATTTGGAAGATTTCAGTTACAAAAATAAAACTGCTCTATTTGTGCAAGGTTTTAAAATTCTAGAAATTGACCTAAATCGGCAGGATTAATAACTTATTTCCCCACCTATGAGGAAACCCTGCAATCTGCCCACTTTTGATTCCCTACTTCAAAGTCTGGAAAGACTAGAATTTTTCAAAGATAAATTGGTCACAATTTCTAAATGTGTTTTTTCTAGATTCCTATACCATTTCTATATCCCTAAACAAGACAGGACAGATTAAACACTGAAACCCTGGATCATCTACACAACCTAACAGCTCACATTTTGTCCCTGTTTTGGATCACTGAATAGCTCCGTTAAAGACAAAGTTTGGGCAGTATGATTTAGCAGGACCAAAAGGATTGTGGATGAGGCAACACTGGGTATGCTCGTGTTTAGTCTCATAACACTAAAGAAAAAAAAAAATACAGATGTATATTTGGACCAAAATAGCACATATGCTATGCAGTGTGGATACAACCAGTCTGCCCTAGAGAAAGACAGTCTGAAGAAGTGTAAATAAGAGTCATGATTTGTTTTGTGATTCAGCATTGCAACTCGGCTCTCTTAAATTTATCAGTTCAGACACAGTCACGGTCAGAAACTTCTAAACCATTTTCATGAAGCTTTCAAATACTAGAGGCACTAAATCTGAAGCATGCTACTAGAAGTATTTAAATTCAAGCATTTAGTTTCTAAAAGAGCAAACCAGGGCTTTATAATATTAAGTATCCTCAGTAACAAAAGTGATATTAATACTGGGCATGTAATTTTTAAATTTAGATACACACACACACACATTAATATACATATATACACAGATGTAAGTATACATAAATACACCTATTTTCTCACTCCTGCTCCTCAATATATATATATACACACATTCAACTCATATCTGATCGGGGTAGATTTAAAATTGTATACATAGTCTGTGGATCCCTTCAGCTATTAAAATTTTACTAACCACTCATAATATCATAATGGCATTTAAAAAAAAACCCCTAGTTTGCTGTGACCTTAAGATGTAGAAACCACTAAATAGGTAAATAACATCATAAACTATAATTTATCTCCTCAACATTGACCATTCCCATAAAGAGCCGCAAGTATTCAGCTGAATTAATTATACATCTCACTGCAGCATAAACCCACATTTTTCTTTATAAAAAGTGAGGAGAATTATCAAAAAATCTTATGGCACTTACTCTTACAGTACTTACAAATAATGTTGGCTTAGGTGTAAATACATTTTCTTCTTCATGTTCTGGCAGCAGTTTTACTGAAGGGTTTGATTTGTTTTTTGCAGTCACAATTTTTACATCAGTATGTGACTGAGGTAAATTTTGTTCATAGTGTTTACCATGTAGACTAATTAGAAGCTGTTTCATTGTGGCTAGTTCCTATAAAACCACAAAAGAACAATGCTAAGTTATTAAGTAAAATTACATTTGAACCTATTAAATATTCATTTATTAAAAATAAATTTATATTCACCAAACTAAATATGTAAGTGGATAAGTAAATCTAACAAGCATGAACATATAGTTACCATAGTACGATTACTAATTGGACACTAGTAAAAGTAAGAAAATAAAAAAGGCACATAGGATTTATACAACTCAAATTTTGTATTACTTAAAGGTTGTAAAAGACAACATTTACTGTGTAATAAGGAACACATTATATCTTTTAACTTAAGCTTCCATTTATTTTAAAAGAATTTTTTGGATTTTGTTTTGTCAGGCTGAGGGAGTTTACAAATCTAATTGGAATGACTGTGACAGACTGTACTTTCGAGCACTAAGTCTTGCACAAAAGTCTTATAAATACATTACCGGAAATATAGATGTGTCTTTATATCCAGATCATAAACAAAAAATCAATAAAAAATCTTAAGAGGACCTACAGCAAAAATAGCATCAGAGTGGAAAAGAAATTTTATGAAAAATGAAAGTTCCAACATGACAAAAGAAAAAAGTATACAGAAATGCAGACTATTTTGGATGTTTTAATAATTTACTTTCTAAGCAATTTGGATTAACTAAAAAAGTAACCTTTTCTTACTACTTAGCTGAACAAAACAGATTATTCAAAATGTACAGTAGAGCTAGGAAGGAAAAAACATAATATTTTGTGACTTTAACTGGACTTCTTTTGTCATCTTGCATCAAGTAGTACCCAACGTTCTCTCCACCCACATATAATGGGTGTAATTACTAGAAAACAAGTTACAGAATTTAAAGTAGTCATTATTATTATTTATTGTACTATTATTATATAGAGCATTCATTATTGCAGAAATAGAACAGCAAGGTCAGTAGAAAAGTCTTTCAAATTACATTTTAAGATAATTTTACATTTTTTTAACTACTAAATGTTTTTGTTTGCTTGCTTTCTACAAATACTGTTGACTTCAATAACCAATACTGTTAGTGTATTAGCATTCTGCATAATTAACATTCTATCTTATGCCTCAACCAGAACAGGGTAACTCATATTTGCAGCTGAATGACAAACATTTGTTATCTTACCTATTTCTTAATACCTGGCAGAAAATAACATTGATGCACATTCTATTCTCATTGCACTATTAGTAATTAATTAAAAAGCCCCCCTCAGCCTTTTAAAACATTCCTGACATATACCTTCTCTCTGTCCACTGCTGCCTTTAATACAAGTGATGAAGTTAAAACAATTATGTTGTTGCCTTTAAATTGTCCCACACTAACTTGCTTATATGAATGAACGTTACACTCCACAGAGCAGCTTTCTGGAGTGTACAAATTGTTCTTGTATATCAGTCATTTAATATTAACTATTTGCATAATTCAGCCATGTGTGGTGGCATGTTGAAACAGCATGACTGCAGAGCAGCTGTTTAAAAGGACTGCATAGTTGATGCCAACATGTTTTTCAAAGTTGTAAACTCTGCAAAGATGTTGCCAAAGCGACACATAGACAGAATTTCTTGATGAAAATAACTCAAGCAAGTATACAGCAAATAAATACACCATAACAGGAGATCAAATTGTACATAAACAATGTTATGACGTTAACAAGTGCTGTTCCTATACTTAAACTGTGTTATTCTGTGGACCAAATAGATGCGTGTTTAAACAAGGCAAAACCCCCAAACCATCATGCAGATTCATTTCAGAAACAGAGTTGAAACCTGTATGCGTAGGGTCAAATTCTCGTGTCAAGATCCACTCGGCAGTCAAAGGTCTTCTCTACTTCACAGAATGTGTCCTGTACTTGACAGCCCTGCCTGTTTTCAGACTTAGAGTAGGCCCTGGAGAGTCAGCTCTCACATGAGCTTCCCCTGTGACAGAAGAATTCTCTACTGTGAAGCTAGAGAAGGAATGACAGGGAGTGGGGATGACAAATTATCCCACAATGAATAAATTATTTTGGCATCGCAGACAAATTTATCATGAGAATTTAGCTAAAGTTGCCTTAATATTTCTTCTAAAATCCTTCCACATTTAGTGAGAAAGACCTTAACAAACTTGGCAAAATAGCACAGGGAACACTGAATCCAATAGAATCATTGGTATGTGTACTGCTAAACAAGAAAAGAAAATTGGCCCAACACATTTGCAAGAGATTTGCTGTTTTCAACCAAAGAAATACTGAATACAAAGCTTTGTCTTGAACTGCAACAATTTTACCCATCTCTTTAGATTTCTCTGCTTCTGAACACAATATTACTGTTAGCAAGCTACCATGATTCAAAAATATTTTCCAATCCTAAAGACTGGCAAGGTGGTCTAGAAAGCCTGCAAGGAAAAAGAAGCTTTGGAGATTGTGCTTAGCAGAAAAATGTGAACTTGTTCCAGTGTGAGCAGGACCCTGAGAAAAAAGGGGAAAGTGGGTATAGGGTTCAAAATGGATGGGAAGAATTTTTTCTGTAGAAGGACATGTATTATTTTCAGGATAAGCTAAGCAAAGGAAGATGTGAAGAAAACGGATGGTTAAAATTTTTATACATTTCTGCCTCAAGTCTATGGTCCTACGTCCAGGCAAAGCTGTGCAAGTTGTTCACTTACAGTATTCACTTCAGTTACTCAGTGCATTGTAGAAATGGTGTTGCTAAAGTTGTGCGTGTTCCAATTCTTCTGTGGAGGTATTTGGTCCTTGCCAGGTTGGCTCCTGGGTGTATAAGCAAGCCATGCTGTGCAAGATGTGTGTCATTGTGTTGAGGCTTCCAGGTCTGAGGGCTCTGGCTTTGGAGAGCCAGACAGTAATTCCTCCTGGGAGGCCTCTGAGTACTGAACACCTTCGTGTGGATTCACCCAGCTCCCCTCTGCGCTGGCCTTACAGCTTTGGTCTCACTGTCCCAAACTTTGGGAACATAAGCACCTGTTCCCTGCTTACACTATATTCTGTGGGGATATGTCAGTGCAGATACATGGAAAACAATGCAGTTAGCAAGAAAAGGTGTGTTAAGATGAACAAGGAAAAAGATGAAAGTATGTAGGTGGCACAAAAATACTCTTTATCTACAGTGAGTGTCACCCACACAAGCAGGTATCGGGGCTATACTCTATTACATATTTTGAAAGTCTGTCCACAGAAACCTGATGATTTTTTATTAAGGAAGCTAACCTGCTCTGTCTACCAGCACAAATGCCAAAAAAAAAAAGTAATGACTTGTGTGACACATCACGTGGGATTTAACTCAAGCTTATAAAACCTAAATTTATGTGTCTAAACTTAAGTATCTACACATGAGCTAGGAATCTAATTTTCCATTACAGACAGTACTCATTCAGAAGTGGACACCTATTGTCGACTGACTTGTGTTGTAACAACACTAGCCATATTGACTGGGCTGCTATTGACTACAAAGCAAAGTAAGACACCTACCTCACTGCAGACACCTCTATTTAGATACCTAAATTTAGTTGTCATAAGCTGAATCCATTTCTCACCTCACTCTCCTTATCGTTTACTTTTCTCAGCCTTCTGCTTCACCTAAAACAACTTTCATCCTGAATAGCCAATGCGCAATCATAATTCCCCTTGCACATATATTTGAAGTATCACATTTCTGTGTTAAGAAGAACTGCATTTTTGGAACAGGCATTCATACCACAGATAGTCTACTCGTTTTCCTAAACATACATAGGTTCATACTTTAGAACAATCTGACATCCTGTATTCCACTTACTTATGCATTGAAACTTTTGAATGCATAACCAGAGAGTAGCCAGAATTAAAAATAAGTGATTAGAATGAATGGACTGAGAACAATGGGAGCTACGTAGCAGGAGGTGAGGTAAGGTAACATGTATTGCATTGTAAATAGTATCAGAAGAACTTACTTGCTTATTTCCATTTATTTTTGGTATTGTAATGTCCAAGAACCTTAGTTAAAAATAGCAAAAGCAATTTTGCATACCAATACACAGAGAAGGTGGTGTTTCGATACAGAGAAAGGATAGGCACCAATCTTTTCCATGATGTTCATTAATAAATATGTTTTCTGTTTTGGGATTTTTCCCTAATTCTATCTTGTTAATTTATTAGGCTGAATGATATCAGTGCTATTGTTGTGGAACTCTTACTACAGTCTGCAAAAACTTTATATCATATTAAAATCATCAAGCTTTAACAGTGTTAAAGGAACCAAACCAAAGAAGTGTCAATCATTTTTAAAAGATAAAGTAAAAAAGGTAAAATAATTGGATGCTATCTGCTCATATTACTCATATTTTAGAAGAATGTGAGATTCTTATGATGATGTTTGATTTTGAAGCAAGTGAAAATTGTTCTTACCTGTTTATTATGGATAATTGAAATAGTACCTAGAAAAACGCAGACTGAAGAACAGGTTGGCAATATGAAGGATAAAATTTGATTCCTACAACTAGAAATGTGATAGAAGGTAGAGACAAGCAAATGCAAAAATAAGGCATGCAGCAGTATAAAATATATTTTGAGTTATAGATACTATAAAAGGGATCTCTATTAACGCTGCTTTTGCTGTCCTTGGTACATGATCAAACATACATGTACTAGAAAAGCATCTTAAAGTTTCCTAATTCAGTACTACAAAAATTCAAAATTAGTGTCATATTAAATATTATCACAAAATCATAACTTACATAATCAAAACAAACTGAAGAGGAATTGCCTGATATGGAAAATAATTGAGGCACAAAAAGGAATGCTATTTTATCACGCAAATAATTGATGAAGTATATGAAAAAACTGCCTAGATTAAGCACAATAGATATTTAACAAGATACTAATTCAATTTCGTTCCAGTGGATTGTCAACAAGTATAAGGATTTTTCGTCTTAGTGTCTCTCTCATGCAACTATAATCAAAGCAAGAAAGAACCCTCTTTGTGTACTCAAAATCTCGCAAAGGCACTTAACATTATATATGTATA